CTCTCTCTCTCTCTCTCTCTGTCTGCCTACTTGTAGGTGCTAGTGGTCAATTGTCTTATAATTTAGGATACGAAAATGTTGTTTGACTGATGTGAAGCAGGTGGAGATCGATGGAGGTGCTCATTAATATCCGTGTTTTTATACACACTTTAAAATGAGCCGTTATCATGTAATCCTAAAACTTACAGGACAGAAGGATAATTACTATAGCTCGAAAGAGCATGTTAAAACAGAGATTAACAAAACTCACACTTTTCAAAAATCATGTGTTCGCTATTTTTGAACTTTCTTCCTTCAAACGCCACAGTTTTACTAACGCAAACCGTTTTTTCCGCGGCTATGCTAATTGTTTTTCTGTTTTGCTACTTTAAAAATACCTGATTAAAGCTCGTTCATACCTTGTGTTAATAGAAAACATATAACAATTTCCAGCAATGATACTGCCATTACAACATCGGCTTTTCCAGCTTCAAAGTATAGCCTTTCTTCAATTTTCACACAACCGTATGGAAGCAATTAAATATTAAAATTTACAATGTCATTTTATATTTGCATCTGTATCGTATGAGATACTTAAACGCTTTGCTTTGTTTAACTTGTTTTGTTTCTCTGGCAACACACGGGAGACTTGCCAAAGTCGGATTAAAGAAAGTACGGGAATTCTTTTCCATGATGGGATTATTCTAATATCACTAGAATGCCTTGCAAACTTTTTTACCTTTTTAGATTTTTTGCAACATTTCCAAAGGTCAAACATGCATCAAATACCCTGTTTTCCAATTCGTAAAACACCGCTGTGTTCCGTCACTACAGACTCAGATTTCAGTGTCTAAATATTCATAAATAGCAACGGTAAAGTAAAGAATGCACAACTTCAGCAATACAAACAATTTGAAATTCCACGGATCTTAACTGGTCAAAATCTCTTTGGTCTTGTTCGTGCGCTAAAACAAACGTCTTGTACATTGAAATTGTAAAGCGCTATTGGGCAATGCGTTTTTGTGAAAAAGGCTATAGAAGTAAATAGATATTCACAATTCCGACTCAGACAATAGCGAACCAATCACCATGCAGCAGTTTTCTTAGTGGAATTGCCCTATTTCACTATGACGTCACAGCTTGTTTATGTCGGGGATAGAATCGCCAAATCCAATAGAAAATTCAACAACATTTGCTCCTAGCCAAACAGTTTAATCTAAAATGGCCTGGTTTTCAGATGTAATATGCGTTAATATGTACTAAAAAATATTCTGAGCGTTCGCTGGCTATTCTACTTCTCTTCGTGGATTGATACGGGTTTTAGAACAATTTTCGGTGAATTTGCGTTGATTTGACCCCCTCCGACGACCATGATCCTTTGCGTGTAAACAATAGATTGATGTGACGTCATAGTGAAATAGGGAAATTAAGTTCTTGTCCCACAAACAACTACACAGTATTTGTTTTAAAGAGTACTACGAAGATTACGAAAATAATTTCTATTCTTTTCGAAGGACAGTCACTATTGAAACAATTTATAATCAATTTTATGCGATCAGAGTTTTAATTTCTGAGACATTCTAGATAATTCGTTAAGCTTGTGGGACATAGCAACGGTAACTAAGGGAAATTCAAACCATGAACAAACTCATAATAAACTAAAACACCTGTTTTCAAGGGGCGGGCACAATGGTTACAAGTATTTTTTATTGCTCGTATTCTCATTACTAAGTTTAAAGTCTCGATTTTTGATATGATGGTGGTGCAAATTCTCAGATTTATTCTCAGATGTATAACATGCAAACAGATGTATTTAGACCATTTTTAAAGTAAAAACTAAAGGATCAAATCTTTGACCTTCATTATTATTGGATATAAATGTGCTGAAGACTCATTTATTTCATTCAGAGATTAGTATTGATGGTTTTCACGGCGGCCATGTTGGAGGAACTTAACAAAATAATTGTCAATGAATTCTTTTGTTATATCCTCCAACATGGCCGCCGTGTCTTTTGTTATTTAATTTTCTTGTCTTTTGTTATTTAATTTTCTTGGGAATGGTTGAAAACCAGCAATAGTTAAGCAAAGCTACAACACACTAATTAGCATATTAACACACAACAATATTTATGATAATATTAAACATAATTTGGTACAAGCTAACTGAAATAACCATAAAGGCCTAAACGAGTCAGTAAGTTATCTATAATAAGCTACGTCATTAAGTCATTAGCAGTAGGTGAAGCAAAAAAGAAAAGTTATAATAAATATAGTTTTGATGATAGTTTAGTAAATGAATGATAATTTCGAATAAACTAATTTTGAAACTAATAACAAACATGTAGATTAACATTCATTACGACATACTAATATCTATTATCAATAATACGCAAATTAACATGTTGAATATATGTGCATAAAACAACTAAATTTAACCTAGTAGAGCTTTTTTTATAAACTTTCGTGCCTCATTAATTGATCTAATGTTTATGAGCAGGTAAAATCGTTTTGGAAGAATATGTCAGTTCTCTAGCTACGAATTACAGAACACAAACCTCACTGTAAGACTACGTCTTTACATTTAGCATAATCTCTTCCCATTTCCCAGCGCCATCTGGAAAGGTAATCGTGCCTGTGAATCGAAGCGAGGACGGCGTTGACCTTGCAATGATAGAGACATGTGAATAATTGTCCAAGGTGTTAAAAAGATCTCTATCAGTGAAAGGTCATTGCCGTTCTCGCTTGGATGCACAGGCTTTGCTACCTTTCAAGATGGCGCAGGGAACTGTGAAATGGACGTACTATTCAGTGTGTTCTACATGGAAACTATCAACTGTGGCAAAAGTAAAACTGCAAACGAAAAAACGATAGCGATGAAGTACGTCCACATGAAAAGACTGTTAAAAACAAGGGCAGCCCTTCGCCATTCCTCTTGTCTTTCTACCAGAATATCTTGTTTTCTGATGTTTTCTGAGATCATCTTTTCGGCTTCTCGACTCTCTTCTTCGGCTTTGTTTGTTGGAGGTTTCTTGTTCGATGAGTTACTTCGATGATTTAGGTGATGTTCGTTTTTCTCTTTAGAGAAAAAAGGCGAGACGATTTATTGGAAAAACTTTGTTTCCTCATTTTGGAAATGCAGAATGATAGAAAAGTATTACTTATTATAAAGAAGATATAACTAGCTAAAAAAAGTGTGAGCTGCGTCGGTGTTTCTAATGAAACAGTAATGATAATGATAAATTATACACCGTGAAAAGATGAAAAGACTTACTGACGTTTCGGACGCTAGTCCTTCGTCCTTTTAATCCGACGAAGGACTAGCGTCCGAAACGTCAGTAAGTCTTTTCATCTTTTCACGGTGTAAAATTTACCTTTTTATCCCTGACTTAGATCAGCCCAGAGGTTGTTCCAGGGTTTGATCTGTGAGTTAGCCATGCCCTGACTTAGATCAGCCCAGAGGTTATTTCAGGGTTTGATCTGTGAGTTAGCCGTGCCCTGACTTAGATCAGCCCAGAGCTTGAGGTTTAACGATCCATGAAACATTACGTATGCGTTACCCATGATAATGGCGATTAAATGATAATGATCGAAGGCTTGTCTCTAGAAGACATTTATTGCCACATTGATGCTACGCTATTTACGCTAGTTAATATTGCTAATAAATAATCACTAATAACTGCCCGTGTTAAAAACTCGTGAAATGGAAGTGTTGCGAAATAAATAAATAAATTTTCTTTGATACAAAAAGCAGATAGATCTCTTTCTTCGCCGTTTTATTTTTCTCACCTTCATGATCTCCAGTTGTCATGGACACTGCTTCGTTATTATTTCCATCCATCTGTGGTTGCATAGCTTGCTGGTTCTTTATCTTGTTGCAAAATTTGAACCCAAGAAAGCGAGCGGCTGTACCAATGACATAGACCTAAAGGAAAAAGAAAACACAGAAATGATCTTTAACAATTGCTTCAACAAAATGAAAAAGAGGTTTAATAAAGTGTGCTGGTTATGACATGACGTCATAGCGGCCACATTAGTCGTTGCGAGGTTGAGGGAAAACTGGGTCAAGTTGACGGGATTGCAGTGCATTTTGGGGCTACTTAAGGAGACATATTTTCAAGATGGCATCTATTTCGTTCATATTTAATCCAAATTTTGAGGGTGGTCAATAGTTACACTAATTTTTCAAAAATACACAATATCCCCTTCACAGTTCCCTGCGCAATCTTGAAAGGTAGCTGTGCCTTTGCATCGAAGCGAGACGAACGGTGAGCTTGCAATGATATAGACTTATTTGTGCATAATTGCGCAAGATGTTAAATAGAGGTGGGCTTGCAATGATAGAGACATGTGAATAATTGTCCAAGGTGTTAAAAAGAGGTCTCCATCATTGCAAGCTCACCGTATCGTCTCGCTTTGATGCGAAGGCATGGCTACCTTTCAAGATGGCGCAGGGAACTGTGAAGGGTACTATTGTACGCAAATTTCGCCTCGTCTACACTTATTCACCTTCATCCACTTAGGCACCTCTCCATGTACTGGGTTATAATGATGAAACCTCAGTACCACACAGGTCATAAAAAAGGCCACAGATATCTCTATAAGGGTCACTGTGTAGTAAATGCCTATCAGTGGAACACCTTCTGCTGTAGCTGGCATGTTCTCGGCCACTAGAAGGAAGAAGAAACTCAATCCAACGAGTATCGCCATTCCTTTAAAAGTAAAAATATGTATATTGTGTCACATTTTTGGGGTTTTGTATAGTTTTTCAGTGAGGATTTGTATAAGTAGAGCATGAAATTATTTATACTATGAGATTTTTTGTCTGCAGGCTTGCGCTGCATAATAGGACGCAGGGTCCCTTTCGAGGTACATTGCACCAATTTCCAACCCGGGTATATCCCCCACATACCCATACCCATAATCAACCCATTAAGATATCATTAGTAAAGGCCAGACACTGAGGGTAGTCACTGCCAGGGTCATTCCACGTCCACAGTGGTTCGTTTACATCCCTCTGATATTGGTTAGAATTGTGAAGTGTGAAGAGACGGAACCGCAATGTCACGCGGTCATCGGCGCCACTTGAGGATCTAGCCATTTGCAGATGTAATTACAAAGGCAGCAGTTTCTCCTCAGTTATTTTAAGACCCTGATAGTCTATACAACCGGGACTCACGCTAGGACCTTCCGCACGAAATTTCAATGCTCAACCAGCTAAGCCAACAGTTGGCACTCATAAAACAAGGAGGATTTGGATTTCAAAGATTTAAAAAATGACTCACCGACGGTCATGCGTTCGTTGCATTCAGGTGGTAAGAGGAACATAAGAAGAGTAAGCATTGATATCATGGCACATGGAATAATAAGATATATGGCATAGAACAGTGAACGCCTTCTGATCTTCACCATGTATTCAATATCATGGTATGGGTTGGCACAGCACGCGTATACAACGGAATGGAATTCTCCAGGTATCTCGATGAGCTCCCATTCCGCACTTGGTAGATATGAACTCAAATCTGCAGTGGGACTCTACGAAAACAATAGTAAAATAATTATCCATCTTCGAATATCTTGTAAAGTTTTACGATAGAACAAAGAAATGCACATCTATACAACTGATTGGAATGATTAAAAATTGCACGGAGGGACTCGGCAAGAGTGTAAAATACGTATCCATCTTGAGTGTTTGAAGTACAACAAAAAAAATGAAATGAAATGATATTCTGGTCAGTAAAGAAAGCGTAAAATACTCACGCTAGCGCTGGCTTATTAGCCTTCTACAATCACTTTATTTCTGTTATCATCATCCACGAGTCAATATGTGTGCAATGGATTTTTCTTACATTTGAAATTTCTCTAGTCACTCAAAAACTCAAAATTCAGAAATTTCAAAATTCTCTTCACCTCCATTCGTAGAGCAAGCTGAGACCCATCAAAAGACCAAGAGCCAAACTTGATACTGCAGACCTGCACATCGAATGGATAACTTGCCAATTGGACTTTGCAGTTGCTTCGTAGAAGGAATGGGATACTAAGGCTTACATGTCCGTCATGTCGTATCACGGCATTGACACGGGTGTGTCCGTCTCCAAATCCTTCATCTGCACTGGAGAAATAAATAATTTTTTCCCCCATTTCAGACCCCGTGTCATTTTCTTGAAAACTAGGTTTTTTGTTTGAGTTGCATTAATATCCATGTGTCTCATCATGTGCAACCGTTAAACAAAGTAATGATACTCAGGGGAATGGTGTGTGAAGAATGAAGAAAATGAAGAGATCTATTGATCGTTAATCCTTGGCGAAAATTAAATGCGAGTCAATCGCTAGTCAGTGAAGAACAATAGATATTCAAATTTGTCGCCATATTTTGATTCGGTGTAAAATCAGGATAATACGAGAGCAGATACGTTCAAAGCTAGCTAATTAATTCAGTTCTGTTTCTGACTCACTTGTTGTATACTACAATGTCGGGAACCCATATATCACTGGTATGAAGAGAGATCTTCTTGATTCCGTTGAAGTCTGACGGTTGCCATGACAATGATGAGTCGAACCAGCTCTATATTGTAGATATAGATATATCATCATTATTATCATAAGTCATTATCGTCACTATCATCATAATCATAATATCAATAACCATAATCATCATTATCATTATCATTATCATAATTAATCATCATGCCAATTATCATCAGCATTATTATCATCATCATCATTTACCACCATCATTATCATCACTATCATCATAATCATCATGTCAATTACCATAATCATCATTATTATAAGCATCATCTTAATTAATCATCATATAAATTATCACCATCATCGTCAGTTTCCATCATCGACATCATCTTCTAATCAACTACTATCATCACTATGAATTACCATCATCATCATTCAACGAAACAACTCATATGTTTCAGTACAGGTAGCAACATTTCTGCGCATGTGTCAAAACAAAAAGACCAAATCTCCACTGAATACTTATTCTCTTTATTAGCGCTGTTTCACAGTTCGATAAAAATTTCGAGGACTAGAGAATGAATATTTATTTTATTCAACTCAGCACTGAACTACCTACCGTTCTTGTGGTAATTCGTAATGAAAGTAACTGCGTTTTGTCATTCTAAAAATTCAAATAATAACAATAATAATAATAATAATACGAGGATGAAGATGATGATGATGACGACGACGATAATGATGACGATGATGAAAATGATGATGCTGATGCTGATGATGATATAATAAAATAATAAAAACGGTGAAATGCTATTTTATATTCATGTATTCTATACTTAAAAACATTTATGCTCTTTATCAACTAAATTACTGCGGCCCTTTTCAGAAACTTTTGACGGAATCTCTATTTTCGACAATTGATCAACACAAGAGAGTTGGAGTCCCAAGTCAGTAGCGAATCCAAGGATTGTTCCATGAAACCCCTTTTTGTGAGATCTTGTGTAGCCGACCATGTTCCGGCTTTACGCTCAGTATAATGAAATAAGATGAACCCCTATCCCCTGGCGAAACCCATTGTAACGGCTTTTTCTGCGTGACGGCGATGCGCCAATGCTATCATTATACTGATGAGAGGATGATCTAGTATGGAGATGTTTCAAGGGAACCCTCCTTCACAAATTATTTTCATAGTTTTGAAACAAAACAGAGTTTATCGTGTCACGCGTTACGACGTTACCGATTCCGTTATGTTACTTTCAACTTACCAGATCAATTATTTCATGTAACGAAAGTCCAAGGGTGATGCTGATAGGGCTGGTTGCGCTGGTCGCTGGTCGGACGCGTTTGTTGTATCGAGTTGAGTTCATCAAATGATGGTGGAGATTGCCCGCTGTGACTATACATGTTGAAAATATGCTTTAATACTGAGAATATTATAGATGCAGTTATATTACTTGCGTAACCAGAGACCGCAATGGGAATGGGAATTCTTATAGCATATTTATTAGTAAGAGAACGTTAATGCAAACAAACGCCACACGAAATGCCAATCAAGGTTTTTAATTTGGGCGTAATATTTTCCTATTTCAGACCACAGGTCATTGTATCCATATTCGACTAGTGCCGGTCTTCTCATGCGCAACCATTTAACATATAAATGATACTCTAGGGAATTGTTATGAGGCGAGAGACGAGACGAGGCCGTGTGCTTAAGGAGGCTTCCTACAGTGACACTAATTCAAAACAGTGACGTCACTGTTTTGTTGCTATGGTAACTCCGATTCCAAAAAAAAAGTGAAACCATTACGCCAAAGGAAAAGAGGTCTATGCTTTTCATGTTCGGCCTCGTGGGAATGAGCATGTGACCTTACTTTCCAACCGAATCAATGTGCTCAGCGTGTGAGCTTTGGGGGCAAAAATCTTTAAAAACTTTTTACAGCTTTATTTGTAAGAGAAAGAAAATGCTTCTTAATAAGTGATGCGAAACAGAGTCGTCATATCTTCAGATTTTATTGATACTCTGAAACAACGTCTGGGCTGATCTAAGTCAGGGCTGGACTCACTCAAGATCGAATAATTGAAGTCTCGTGGAGGCACAAACCCCGTATCTGATGCTTGTAAAGTGCCGGGTTTTCATAAACGCATGAAACAAGTGTACTAATTAGAGCATAATAATAGGATAAGCACAATAGAAAACAAAAGAATTAGAGTGTAATAGTACTAAATAAGCAAAAGTGTATTTCACGGGTTTATAAAAAAAACACTCTATTATACAACAGCAAGCAAGTCTAAATAACCAAACTTAGCAAAAAGGCAGATGAACGAAAAGTTCCAAACTATCAGTCATCAGGAGTATACCTATTACCAGAAGTTCTACGTACTTCTTTTCAGAAAACAATTAATCATCTTTTTCTAACTTACATTTCTTGGTTTGACTTAATCTGATCTCATCATGTAAATATTGTATGTTGTATTGTTTTATTTTTTATTTTCTTAAAAAATCTACACTTTTAATATTATCATTATCATTATCATTATCATATTTCGGAACGTGGCAAATATAATGTCGTGTAATAAATTTCTTGTTTAAGTTTTTTCATGCAAATTAGATATGAGACATCTTCGTAGCCGGAATCCATGTACGTAATTGAGATGTGATTATTCTGCAAAGACGAATAAAGATATAGATTTACCTTGGTTTCCAGTGGCGAGAAGGCAAAACAGAAAAAACCATTGCAAAACCTTCATCTTTCTTGTGCGCTTTTGTTGTTAGTAACGAGAGGATATGAATATTGATGGCCTTGTCAGGATTCTTGCGAAGCCGCTATAAGATACGTTCAGTCGTATCGATTCATATGTTAATCCATTCACCGTTAGGCTGCGTTCATAATGTATGGCTGAGGGGGGCAGGTGAAAGTTTGAAATGTCCAGAATAATTCTTAACAAAAAAATACGATCCCCCTAAGCAAGGCTTGTAGCTTCTTCCAACAATTGTGCATCCCCCCATTTTTCTGATAAAAATTTGTCCATCCCCCCTCAATTTCACCTGCCCACCCCCCGCCATATATTATGAAC